AATAAATACAATCTGTGCTGGTTCAGAACTCAGCTCTGATTGGACCCCATCTGCACAATCTATGCCCCGCAGTTACTCATTACTCAGCAATGTCCTGGACCCCCTGTACCACCTCACTACACCAGAGGGGAGATTACGTATGTGTTGGTGGTTTATGGGTAACAGAAAGAGTCGATTCATTGTGTGTGTGTGTGTGGACCCCTGTGTGTGTGTGTGTGTGTGTGTGTGTGTGTGGACCCCTGTGTGTGTGTGGACCCCTTACATCTCTTCACCTCTGCCTAAACCCTGAGAATAAAACTTTTTCCTGGCAGAATTGGCTGCTGCTTGACATGAGGGAACATCTGAGGAATGCTTCACCCCCAAACTAATCAGTTCTGGTTAGAAAAGGGGGGTGCAGGTGGTGGGGATCTATCGGTTCTGATAAAGGACGACCAACTGTCCTGACTCTGTGACAGTGAATAGATTTAATGTCGTAAACCTTTTCAGTAAATGAACAGTTTTAAGCTGACTGTGTAACTTGGATTTGAAAAACAGTATTTGGTTTATTTATTGCTTCAATAGAACAAAATCTGCTGATTTTGACTGCTAAAAAGTGGCTAAAAGCTTTTGATTCAAGATCAACTGATCATGTGGTTCAAACAGTAAGTTTTAGGATAATCATTAGCCAACCATGTGTTTTCTCAGTATTTTAAAAAAGTTGTTAATGTGGACATTCTGATCTTTTAATGCAGCTTCAATAAACAGCTTAATCCCAATTGTTACCAGACATGTTGTTTTACTTCTGGAAGCTCTAAAAGTGTTATTTTAGCTTTGGGTAGCTAATTTAAGTTGTACAACAAAATAACGATCTCCATTTCATGTAGCTAGTGTGAACGGTCACGTGACCCCTTGACTTCCTGCCTGTCCTGCTGGAGGGAAATGTCTACCTCAAACTGGTAGAAGAAGAAGTGAGTAAAATACCTTAATAAACACATATAACTGAAATATTTTGAACATATATTCTTTAAAGAGTCTTCTATCGATATATAATGAGAATTTTATGCTTGCATGCATGTTTTCATCGTAAGAGTGAATGTAAGCACGGCTACATTTGTTGCCGCGAGCATAACAGACAGCGCTATGCTATCAAAGGTTTGCCTGATTATTTGATTTATCTTATGTTTTTTTCCCCCACTCACACTCAGCCTAAACCTATCAGGTGTTTTAGATCTTTTGGACCTGAAAGAACCCCCAAAATGATGTGTGCTGGATCAGGGGTTCCCAAACTTTTCCATACCATGGCTCCCCAAACAGCATTAGCTACTGGCAGGGACCCCCTTTGCAAACCCGCAAAAAATGCTACAGAATATGTAAAGATCAACTTTAATATTTAAAACATTCATAAGATTTAAATTTTAGGTTTTGGTCTTTTTTCCGCTTATCTCCTTCAGCTTTCTGAGGTCCCCCCTAATGCCCCCTGGTGACCGCACAGGGGGCCGTGGACCCTACTTTGAAAAACAGTTACAGTAAGTCACAATCATATATTGTTGAACTTGTACCCATGTCTTGTTATATGTTGTTTCCCACCGGCAACAATTATTGACAAGCACAAAACCTACACTTTCAGTAACACAATCAACATAAAATAAAATAAAAAATCATAAATACTGTGTGTTAGGGAATAAGGAATTAAAAGCATATGCTCATTTTGAAGGGAAAAAAATTGGGATTAAATGATCAATTTAAAAACAGCATTCAGATGAGTGGACATTTCATGAGAATCTACTGTTTGTTGCAAAGATAGACTGATAAAATCTAGATGCCCGGAGTCTTTTGTGACTGAGCTAACGTCTGCATAAGTTTAGAAAAGTTTTAAGCCAAACTGTCAAAAATCCTCCACCAGCCGAAGATRAGAAGTTTCACTAAATACTAAATTCACAACATATGCCCAGAACAAATCTGGCACAAACTTTGCATTTTTATGATGTCATGACAGTTTTTCTTTTACTATTTTGTAGCCTATAAATAAATAAATAAATGCAAAAATACTTGCCTTTTAGTTCAATCAGATGAGTTAAGATGATCTGATATTGGAGATGTATTTTCTCCAGTTGTAGCTCATCAATCTGACTGAATTCAGATGAGAAACGGTTCATGTTTCTCGCCAACATTTTCCCTGACTAAGTTTATATATGGTTAGTGTTGTAATCAGCCTCCACCTGAACGGGACAGTTAATCATGCCTGGCCTCTGGCAGGAGGAGGAGGAATTCTCCAAACAAGGAGTTGAAGGAGCGCACACCTCGGAGAGCTGCTGCTGCTGGGAATGTTTGTAGGATTCGTGCAAGAACCCACGTCCACACGCAAACCACACTGCCCAGTTCCTGTCACACACCGAGGAGGGAAACATCCTGGGACTTACTCATCCGTCTACAAGCCAAACACCAAGAAGTCACCATGCAAATCTCAACAGGTTCATCTTCATGGGAGCCATTCTTATCCCTGGTCAGAGCTGAAACCATTACAAAGCTGTTAATGCAGTTATATATTGACTCGTCTCTTTCTTTGTTACTGTTTAGCATTCGGTCCAAACACAGTGGTGGTGAGTCACTCAGGTAAAAAATAGCCACCTCACATTTTCTTCCTGCATTGACAAGTAGTGCCGGACATTTGGGTTTGCTTAATTTTACTATAATTATTTGGTCAAATGAAAATCTATGAAAAATAAAAAAAAGTGACAACATACTGCACACACAATATTTTCTTCTTCAACTCTCAATATGTGGTGTGAGCTAGAGCTGGGCGGTATACCGATTCGTACCAAAAACGGGATTTTACTTTGTTGGGATATAAATTTTCTGAATACTGACAAATTGGTTTAAATAGCCTGAACGTGTTTAGAACATTATGTCGTGCGCGCGGGGGACACTTTTCCTCGCAACACCGCTATGAGCATTAGCAAGCTAGAAGCTTCTCAATAACTGGTCACGTGTGGTGATTCCACTACTTATATTGACTGATTTAAAAAAAAACTCTCCCATTCGTCATCCCAGAATGTAGTAAACACCTTTTCCGTAATGTGCACGGTCAGATTTTATGCACGACATAAATGTATGGAGATGTTAATGTGCTTTTATTGTGAAAAGCCTGGGGGTAAGTGGTTTTCTCTTAGGTGAGTTGACGGGTGCCCGGAGGTTGAGTTGTCCGGTTAAGTTTTATTAAATAACACAAAACGATAGACCTGATAATGATCTTTGCTCAACCCTCCTTTATGATTGTACCAAAATGTGTGACTTCTATGGACTGCCGTTTTATTCAAAATACAATAAATAAATAAATAAATAAAAAAAGGTAAAATTTGATAAATAAATAAATAAATAAATAAAATACATGCTAAAACGTATTAAAATTTATTAATTTTGTTTTATTTCATGTAGACATTTAGGTATTTGATGGAATATATATTAATACTTTATTAATTAATTGTATTTTGAATAAAACGGCTGTCCATAGACTACTGTCTGCAACCAGGCAAAGAAGAAAAGACACGAAGAGGCGGGAAACATCAGCACAGACAGAGGGACAGTAAAAGAAAAAAGTCAAGAAATTATGTTGCAGAAAGACGTAACTTCAGGTTTGCTAATCAATAAGAAATGTTTGTATGTTTTATTATCAGCTGAGCTGTGATAAAAAGAAAAAAAAAACAGTCAAAAACCGTAATACTGGTAGAATTATTGAAATTACCCTGATATACTGTAAAATTTGGGTCATATCATCCAGTTCTAGCTTAAATACCATCCTTCAAAGAAAGAAAGAAAAATCCCAGCAGGTGTTCTGGTGTTATTTTTGATACATCTGTGGCCCTGCTGTCCATCTGACTGAGTTTTAGAGCAGCTCTGTTACCCACAGCTCAAAGAGCGAAGGCAGCCCAACAGACACACTCCAAWGTGTTTATGAGGGCGGTTAGCACCTCTAATGCAGACACAAACACCTCGGGAAAAACCCCTCACAGCAAGCAAAAGCTTTGCAACAGTAACTCAAAGCTCTGCTGTCACCACGAATGAAAATGAAGCCATAATTGATGTGTTTTGTGTTTGACGGTATTGAAGCCAAACAGATGCCTTCATGTCCCAAGCATCCAGTGCATTAGCATCTGTGAGGATAATAACATGTTCTGGGTTAATTGTGGCAGCTTTTATGAAATCAAAACACAGATATTTTCTCTGAGAGGGTAATAAAGTGCAGGGGATATTTGGTTTGGTTTGTCCAGCACCCAAAACCCATTTAAACACACAAACATGCGAAGAAGCGAGTGAACAAACCAGATCCAAGTCAAACACGAGTTTCTTACATCGATACCAAAAAAGGCAACAGAGCGAGCGTCTTTTTTWTTGCATTTCAATCTCTTCATACTTTGACTATGGCACACTTTTTTTTTAATTTCAGAGTGAAGCAGATTCAAAAGCATGACTCTGTTTTTAGTCTTCTACTTTTTTTAAATTTTTTATATAACAGGAACATTTCTGGAAAACAACAGTCAGATCATTACTTGATTTAACCTGTGTTCTGTTGAAACCTGTCCAAAAAAAGTGTTTATTTCATGGTGTTTAACAAAAAGTACACTAAAATCAAAAACTTAAAATTTGTTTCTTACCAGCTCATAGTTTGTTGCTGGAACACAAGATGACGTCACCTGAAATCAGACAAAAACAGGTCAGTTATGGGAAATTTGTTATAATTACTTTATATAAAAAATATATATATAACCATATTATTCAACTAATATCGCTCCAGGGACTATGAAAGCCAACAGTGTTTCACATTTACCCATTAATGAAAGGTAAAACACTGCAATATGTAACAGAAAAAGTATTATTATCTTTTACCTTTTAAATTTGCACACATATCAAGTTGTACAGGTTGTCCGTTATTTACAYAGACTTTCCCTTGTTTTGCAGGTATATGGACGTATAGAGCAATCTCACAGATTTTTTCAAGTTTTACAGATTTTTATCTCCGCCAAGGGCGAGGTAATGTTTTCGGTCGCGTACGTCTGTCTGTTGGTATGTCTGTCATTCTTTCTGTGGACAACATTACTCAAAAACTTGTGGACGGATTGTCATGACATTTTTAACACATGTGGGTACTGGACCAAGGAACACACCTTTACATTTTGGTGATGTTCCGGATCACGATGCGGATACAGGAATTTTTTTTTCTTTTAACACTCTGAGATTGGCAAAGCTGTGATGCTTTCACCGGGCTTCTGTAAAAAACAGTGAGCTGGATTGGACAGCATGGACTTCAAGCTTTATAAAAGTAATGTTGAATCCACATTTAATGATAAATAATTTTTGCCATAATATGCGCATTTACAGAACATTTTGTGACCAGGAAGTGCGTGACTGCACCATRAAACCTATTTTTCCCATTTCCTCAAACACACCACATTTCCGAAACAACCAATCAAAACAGTTTGTTTCTACTAGGCTTGTAAACAGAGAGCTTCTGGCCGGGCCTCAAAGTTTGGAGACGGGGGGAGCCAGGAAGCACTTTATAAAGAGAGTCAAACCATTACAAACTCATACAAGGAGATAAAACAGACGTTTTACATGGTGAAATGTKACTGATGAAAACTTAGGAGCTTAATCCCACACCAGTTTGACCAKGAATAACGTTGAGTGACCAGTCTGACTTTTTTTTTTTTTCACAGTGGACTCCACCGAGAAGAAATCCCGTGCATACTGCTGCTTAAATGTTCACCACGGCACAACTTATTCGGCAAATGTGTTTCCATCTCTGCTTTTGCGCATTAACTCTTACAGGATGGGGGTAAATGGTCTTGGCGGAGGTTTGCACTCTCYGAGTGCTTCTAGTTTTCAAATGTTTTTAACATGTCAGAACCTGTAGGACATTAAAAAACAATAAATAACATCAAATAACCATCTTCCAACCTGCTCTGCCACTATGAATAAGTTTTCCCGTCATTTCCTCCTGCTTTGCGCTGTAGGTGCTATCATCACAACACATGCGATGATTAATACGGATTTTTTTGCGAAAATCACTCATTTTTGAGACTCATTAAACAGGTAAACTCCCAAAAGGGTTGACATGTATGAATTTGTTTATTTTKTTGCACTGAATAATATAAATTGTACATTTACCAATGATTTGACATTTTTATTTAAAAAATTGCCAGTTTGTTAAACTTTATTGCAAATAATCACAGTATTCAACTTTAATATTAAACCTTTTCTGTAGTATTTAGCAACTAAAACTACCAGACAGGCTCCTTCTACCATAATAACAACTAAGATATGTTAGTTTTTCATTCAGCTTGTGTTGTTAACCTCATGTGGAAGTAATTTTCCCTCTTTTTGATGCATATCACTGCATATCACCTGCCACCTTTCATGTCCAGAGTTTTAAACAGAGATCATCGAACGTTGAGATGTGATGGCTTTAATGCCATTTTGGTCAAACCTCACGAATAAAAGCATGCGCCATACCAGGAAATAATCTGAGCTCTCTTATAATCTGATAGCTCTTGTGTTAGAAATAACTCTTGGCTAGTATCAAACCAATTTTTAGCTGAAAATCTATAAAACCAAGTAAATTATAGCCATTTTTTGTGTTGATTAGTTGAAAAAGAAGAAAGTTTTTACAAAACAAAACAAAAACACTAAAAAGAACTATTTGATCTGATTGTTTTCCGTGTTCCAAACCAAAGAATAAGAAGAGAGTCATGATAATGGCACAGAAAAAAAAAACTCAGATTGAAATGAAGGGATTCTAGAAGAAGATGGACGCTTGAGGAGGACAAATGCAAACAGGATGTCACCGTTGACGTTTCCTTCCTGTGCACGTTCTGTTTAACTATCATTCCTCTCCTGCTGCTCAGAGGGAAAATAAATCCTGCAAACCTAATTTCCACCAGTTAGCGCTCTCATCTGATAGCACAGGAGAGCTTTACGATTCCAGTGAGCTTTTGACTTGTTCGTATCCTTTATCCCTGCTTTCCTAGAGCACCGTGCCTTTTTTTAGCTTTGAAAGATTAGGGCTCACTGTTATCACAAGTGCTGACCACTAGAAGTAGCTTTCATCTCAGCTGCTCTCCTTATCTGAGACTAATTGAGTAATTGCATGAACACAAGGCTTTGGATAAGAACAGGTTGTGTTCCCGCAGCACATTCCTCATCGGAACGCTAAATAAATTTAATTCTCGCCCTCTTTGGTTCATCTCGATGTTCAACTTTAGAAATAAGCTTCCAAACTGACAGGAAGGTTTTTAACCAAAAAAGTGCACAAATAAGAAATTTGAAGTGTTTAAATGCTACAGTGTCGTTCTGTTGCTGGAAGCAGGTGAGTTCATTCTTCAAAGCAAAGGGGGTGAAGGGGGATACGTCTGCAGCCCACTGTATGAGGTGACTGCGGTCCCATCAGACGGACCACTGGACGACTGCCGCCGGGATGTCACTGGCTGATTAGATTAAAAAGATGCAGGCCCGTGAGTCACTTTGGGCCATTAAAGGCCCTTTGTGTCTTTTTATAGCTGCAGCTTTTTCAGCTGGAAAACAGGAATGTTCACTCTAAACAGGAAATGATCAGTTTGTTTCTGCTGTAGAAACAGCTGACATAATGATATACAGTGGTGGGCAGCGCTAGTCCAAATAATAGCTCTGCTATTTCTAAAGCACTTCTGAAAATATTTAGGTCCGCAACTTCGAAAGCACTTATACCATAGAAAACTAGTGGAAGCYAATTTTAAAGTGCAAGTTCAATTTGACACTTACTAGCTGGAAATAATTCATGTACAATATATGTACAACACTGCCAACTAGCGGTGTGTGAACTCTTTTACAACTTAATTCTACAACCGACGATTGCTGGGGATGTGAGTTCCCGAAACAGACCTTTGGTTACTGGTGTAAAAATTAAAAAGTTGTTGAGGATTGCTAGTTCGGCTGCTTCTTTGTCTTTTTCTTTTTTTGTTGTAGATTTTTCTTTAAAGAAGCATCAATAAAGAAATTTAAAAACTGTTTATTGGAAAACTGAAGCGATGCATTCTGGGTACATGACGGATTTGATTTTTGACGGGAAACGAAAGCACGGAGTACAGGAAACTATCTGCAAACTTCAAAATAAGAGCTTGGATTTTAAAGTTTTCCATGTAGTTGTTCCAGTTGACGACTAGATGTCAGTCTTCATCAGCATAACATCTTTAAATCATTTCTGTGTCTCTAACCCCGTTGCTTCGACCAATTACGTCAAGTATTGAGCTCCAGCGTTTAAACTTTATTTTTTAGAAAAAGGAGCTCTGATTGTCAAGTAAAATAAATTAATACATACAAAATTTTAGTAAGGATTACAAACGTTAACTGTTTTTGCCGGGACAGGGAGTTCTAAACATTGCCTTCCTGCTACGTAAACAGACACAAAGCATTGTGGGAAATGAGAACCGTGACCCAAAGCAACAGACAGCAAAGATTTATATCTTCTCAATAAGTGTGTTTATCTGGGAGGGGTGCTGTTCGACAGATCACGTGTGTTGTGAGTCATTGACAGTCATACCTTCCGCTTTTCGAGATAATGATGACTGGTAGATAATTAGTTATTAGCGGTACTGCATTTTAATTTTAGAAAGGACAAATCCGCTTATGAATTATAAAAATTAGTAAGACCGTTAAAGCGCAAACAAAATATTTAGGTCCGCAATTAGTGGATTTGCGCTTTAGTGGGCTGGTGCCCACCACTGATGATATAAAAGAAACTAARCTCGGTACAGAAGCTGTTTTTGCTTTAGTCTCAAATGTGGAATGAAACATCTCCACGGTGCTGCAGCTCAAAAATACCCATTTTAGAGGCAAAATGCAGATTTTATTGAACTGATCTTTGCAAGTGTTTCTMCGTGTCTGCGTTCCGTCGTCCTACATATCCCCCACCCAACTGAGTGACGCCATCCATGTGGAATGTTTCTGTGTTGAAGGTTTTGTCTGGAGGTGATGACAGGACAAGTATTTATGTCTGTTAAAAGTAACTCTAACCCTCACGTAAATAACTTCATCAGCATCACTTCTTCTCCTTCTGGTGCCCCGAAGCCTCAGGCCTGGTCAGTGCTTTATCACTTTATCACAACACACCGCTGACAGCTGATCCACCTGCAGCAAGCCGACATTCATGTGCGTATGGCAATTCAAGTGAAAAAAACACCCAAACGCAGGACTAAGAGGACAGGATGCAGGCACATAGCAGAACCAATCAAACCAAAGGGGTTTTAAAGCTGTCCAAGAACAAGCTTTGTTTGCTTTAACACAATGAAGCACATCTGGAGCTCTGCAGCATGGTTCCGCTGCAGCGGCGTTTGAATCTTCAACACTGATGTAACGAGTGGTTCACACTCTGCTCCATGAACTGGTTAATAAGGTCACAAGATGAGCGCTGGACTTGGAGCAGACCTGGAGAAGAAAACCAGACTGATGTGGCCACGACTCTGTCTAATAAATATTAACTGGTCTAATCAACTAAACAAAAAAGTTGTAAGGATTTATTGTAACTTGAAAACAAAACCAGCACACACACACAAAAAAAAGACACGGACAGAGTATTAGACTGTGTTGGTTTAGTAAATAATCAAATAAAACCTTCCTCACTCTGCTTTTAGTTTGGTTATATTTACAAGGTTTGTTTGAATTT